AACTAATTTTATTACTGCTTGGTGCATGCTGCACAAAGAGTTTATATTAGGTTCTAACATACTGAGCTTTAATCTCATGTCTTCACGTTGTGTTATTTCAAGTCTATTTCATTTTTACCAATAAGTTATAGCAAATATTTGTACTTATGGTTACATTTGGGCTTATGGTTTCAGTTTCTCTATAAAGACATCTGTTAACGAGTCTACATAGTTAGTTGACATTTTCTTAACTCAGAACGAAATTATATCTAATTTTTATATATCTTTTTTTGTTGAATCTTTTTTTCTTAAACCGGAACGGAGAGGGTATGGGCGTGTTTCCATACAGAATTGGCTGGTATTTAAATGATTTTGATGCCATTTTATAGGTATTTTCGAGAAAATTCGATATACCAAATTTCAAATCCGTAGCTCATCATTTGGCCTAGATATCATTGAAAATATGTGAAAGTGGCCCCTTTTTTCAAAGTCGTTTTTGGTCGCAACTGTAAAAAATATCGTCAAACAAATAGCGGGTTCCTATTCACAACGGTTTACTATATTATTAATAACAAATATTGTTAAATAATTATTTTTTAGTGCATGAAAAAGTAAAAATACTTTTTTGTTTAGAATTTTCGGGTAGTGCGGTTCTTTGGACTAATTTTTAATTAGCATTATTAGAAAGGGTATTAATTTTTTTTTACTGTACAAAATTTTCTTTTATTTCAGGTGGTAGAACATATTTAAAAGTAGAAAAATCATGGGCAAATACACGTTCGCGATCATATAACACCCGATTAAGTCGTCTCTGATTTACAACGACTAGCAACAGCACTACTCGCCGCGCGTCTTAATAAATTCTGCATGTATGGAACATTTGTTTGTAAAATATTTTTAATAAAACACAAGCTATATACATTTTTATTTTAAATAATTATATATTTATATGTATGTGTATAATAATAATTTTATATTTATACTAGCAAACCCGACGAACTCCGTTTCGCCACCAGATGGTATCGTGAGAAAGATGAGAATTTTTTTTGTTTTATATTTGGAAAGAAAAAATTGGATTTTATTATACAACAGTAATGAATTTATTTCGATTACAAAAATCGAAGTGTTTTTTAGTTGAACTTCTCTAAGTAAATGAAAGTGAATCCGCAAATTAATCGTTTCATTGATGTGCTCTTTGGCAAGCCACATTTTTTTGTTTTTTGGTCTGACGTTAACACAAACAAAGCGGATTTCCAACTCGTGAACAGGCAACGTATAACTGCCCATGTGAAAAACAATGATTTTCTAAATAATCTATTTGAAATTTATCCCGCAAACACTAAGCGATTGGCCTTGCGACTTGTTATTGCAAACGCAAGGCGAACTGGAAATTGCAATCGTTTGAAGTCAAACGGAAGACCAGTCGGAATCATTGGTACCAAATCGCCAGCAATTTTTGATTAAATGGTGAAATTCAGTGTGTATATATCATTATTCTTTGCGGCAAGAATTGCTAGTAGACTTAACCAAGCAAAATTCTGATAATTCTCACTAATGTCATTACTTGAATTTTTAATTACGGTGCGTGAATTTCTAGCAGCTTGCATTAAGGCACGATGCCATGCACAACTAATTTTCTTAGCTATTAACCTTGCGGAGCCCGAGACCTTTCCAACAAATGCAAAATTGTCGAAATCGGTTCGTGAGTTCTGGAGTTATTTTGTCAGGAAGGAAAACCCAACTTATTTTTATATATATAGAAGATAATCTATTTGCAATTATTTAAAACAATTATTGATTATTTTTATTACTCAAATTTTTAATTACGGTGCGTGAAGTTCCAGCAATTTGCATTAGGGCACGATGCCATGCACCACTAATTTTCTTAGCTATAAACCTTGCGGAGCCCGAAGCCTTCCAACGAATGCAAAATTGTCCAAATCGGTTCGTGCGTTCTGGAGTTATTTCGTCAGGAAGGAAAACCCGACTTATTTTTATATATATAGAAGATAAATAAATATATATTACTTATATATTGCACAGGTATATTATATCATATGATATACAAAATAATACTATGTCGGTATATGATTTCTATTCCAGCTACAGCAATGTATATAATGGCAAGTATACTAAGTTAGTCATAAATATTTTAAATAAAATCGATTTTTTTTAAAATTAAATAATATATAAAATATATTGAATAGAATATCTTTACCTTTAAATACTCATATTAGCCGTTGAACTACTATACTTGTGCGTCATCATTAATTAGGAAAATTTGACACAATTATGATTTTTTTTAAAATGCAAGGGTTTTAATCAGATGGTTCGTAGTTTAGTAATATTTATAAAAATTCCAGCCAAGCCCCAATACTTTTTAAACATAGCCAAATTGTTTCTATTAGCCGAATCTATATTACTGCCTTAATTAGGTTGTCCAAAACTTTAACTAGACAATCAGAGCAGCATTGAGTGAAAAATCATCATAATGACATTTTTCAAATCAATTTTAACATAACTGTTAATCCACTTCGACACCATAAACAACACTTAACCTTTGGGAGGATCGTTTTTCCCTTTGCAAAAATGGAAATGCAAAATAAGACTAAAATGTTTGTTTTGATATTCCATTTTTCACAGAACGCTGAACTGATCAAAAAATTATTTTCTACTAATTGACAGCTGAATTTCTTACTATACAATAAAAAAATGTGTTTTACATGCAGACTACCTCAACAAACCCAAATATTCATTTGAAGCAATCTAAGAGTAGAAGCCGCACTTAACTAACCGAAACTCAACCGAAGGTAATTTAAACAATGAAATAGTAACATCAAACAGATTTAGCTTACTAGCTTCAACATCGAATACACAGAACGAAAACATACAAAGTCCAAAGGCCACCGCCCGTATTTGTGTATAACATAGATAAATTTGTGGATTACATTTGTGCAATGTATAGAAGTAGATTAGTGACTTAAATAAAATACTCAACACAAATGACATAGTCAAGATTATTGTTGCAGCACCGGAACATTATAGAAAACTCGTTACTTTACTCCAATCAAAACAAGCGATCTTTCACACATATCAGCTAAACAAAGAAAGGGCATTCAGGGTAGTGCTGAAAAACATACATCATACGTACGACAGGGAAGAAATTAAACAAGAAATTGAGAAACAAAACCATAAGGTGAGAAATATTATCAATGTCAAGCAATACAAAACAAAGCGCTTGCTTAATTTGTTTTTTATTGACCTTGAGCCAGCTAACAACAACAGCAAAATATACAATTTAACTAAACTACTCAATCATATAGCAGTGATAGAGCCTTTAAGGAAAAGAAAAGAAATTATCCAGTGTACAAGATGTCAATTATTTGGCCATAAAAAATCTTATTGTAACAGACCCTTCGTATGTGTAAAATGAAACCTCACATTTCTACTGCGTGTAAAAAATCCAAATCCTAGTAATTGCAGCAGTGTACAGTCCAGTCCGCCATAATTTAAAGAAAGCTGATTTCAAACAATTCTACTAAACTCTAGGTCCTAGATTTATTGCTGGTGGCGACTATAACTACAAAAACACATTTTGGGGCTCCCCAAAAAACAGAACAATTAGTCTGACAACATCAAAAGGCAAGGAACTGGCTGAGCTATTACACGAAGAAAAATACAAATTCCTGTCAGGAGGTTTCCCTACATATTGGCCTACTGACCAACACAAATTACCAGATTTGTTAGATTTCTTCATTATTAACGGTATATCATAGATGAACATGGATATTGAAAATAGCCTGGACTTATCTTCTGATCATACTCCAATAATAGCAACATTTTGCACAAATGTAATCAAACGCAAAGTCCACTTCAATATATATAATAACAAAACTAACTGGGTTGATTGTTTTTCTTTAAATTTTGAAAAAATTAAATTTCTGAGAAATTTGAAAATTTGAAAAAAAATGAGTTTTTGGAAAAAAAACTTTTGGCAAAAAAATGTTTTTTTATTTTGAAATATTTTGGAAATTTTTAACTATTTTTCAAAGCAATCGCAGTGCTTCAGCTGCATAGAGGCGTCGCCGTCTAGCGGACAAACGACGCTACGGAACCCATAGAAATGCAAACAAAATTGATACACATGATTAAAATCTCCATAAAATATCTGATAATTTGATGTGCATATGTGTAATGATAATTTTTGACCGCCAAATGGCATTTTTTTTACTTTTTTTTACTAAATCTCCGAAACCGCTAGATCTACCTTCTCAAAAATTTAATCATTTGTTCATCTGGTCAATACAAATAAAATGTTTTTTGAATGATTAAAATCGGACGCTCCGTTCTCTTAACCCGCATCCGTCCCTAGTATCAATTTGATACAAATTCAAAATTCAAACTAAAAAAAAAAGGGATACGTATAAATATTTGGATTCGAGTTTTTGGCTATCTTCCTAACTATTCTAAATGAACAAAAAAAACATTCAATGCATGTGCGTGACGTCATGGAAAGGCCCTACAAAAAATGTTACAAATCGGTTCTTTGTATCATATTGATACATTATTGGTGTGTGGCACATACAGCTGTATAGAGTATAGTATACGTACATATATCGTTCTACTTATTTTTTGGTATTGTGACTGGCACTCTACTACAGCTATTTCTTTTTGTTTGTGTGTGTTTGCTCACGTCGATTGAGTGTATATAGCCAGCAATGCCTGTGCATAATATATTGTAGCGTGATACATATGTGTATATATGTGCGTTTAGCGTTCTCTATTTCTTTTTGATTTTCACTTTGTACTCTATGTGTGTTTATATGTGTATTGTTGGCATTCTCATTGGTTACGAACATGCTTTGTGTTTGTTTATGCGTGAAAATAAGCGTTTGTGTGTTTTGGCGCCCACAAATAACGCGTCATTTCAATTGATGTTATTGTGCTCGACAGTCGTATGTTGTTTGTTTTTTGAGATCATTTTTCAATTGTTTTGTGTTCGAACTGAAAAAAAAGTACAGATGACTAGCAATAGGAATGTTATTATAAGTGATAGTGAGAGCGAAGAAGATCCATATAGTGGTTCAAGTGATGACGATGAGGATAACCAGCCAATTGATGCTGAAACTGAAGAGGAGGGTGAGGAGAGCGAAGATGAATTGGTGTGTGCCACTCAAGAAGAGCGTGAGCAAGCAATTCTTCAACCGAATACATGGATTTTATCGAAAGACAAAAAAATTCAATATTCGAGAGATGATTGTCCACCAGATACTCGAAGAAAATCAATACCAACAATTCATAAAGGTATGTTTTTTTATGGCTTGTCGTTGATCATATGAAATAACACATTTGTGTATGTTTTGGGTCCAACTACATATGCTACTTCACGTATCACTAATCCAGTTTCTGCATTTTTGCTATTTCTGAAACCAATCGAGACGATTGTGCTTGATATGACGAATTTGTATGGTCTAAGGAAATTCAAAGAGACATGGGAAAACATCGATTTGGTCACCTTACGAGCTTATTTTGGTTTGCTATTATTGGCGGGTGTTTACCGTTCGAAAGGTGAATGCATGACTGAATTGTGGGATGACAAGCGTGGACGGCCGATATTTAGAGCAACAATGTCGTTGAAATACTTCAAGTATTTGAATTCATGCATACGTTTCGATGACAAAGAGGATCGACTTGATCGACTTGCAAGAGATAAGCTCGCTGCGATTCGTAATGTTTTCGACAAATGGAATAAAAATTTGCGAACAATGTATGTGGTTGGCGATTGCGTTACTGTCGACGAACAATTGATTCCGTTTCGTGGCAAATCACCGTTCACACAATACATCCCATCTAAACCGTACAAATATGGCATAAAAGCATGGGCGTTATGTGACTCGCGTACATTTTATGCATACAACATGCAAATCTACACCGGACGTGATCGAAATTGCGCGCCAGAAACAAAGCAAGGCAAACGTGTTGTTTTGGAACTTACAGATGAATTGTCTGGCCGTAATGTCACATGTGACAATTTTTTCACCTCGTACGAGTTGGCCAAAGAGCTGAAACAACGCAAGATGACGATCGTTGGAAGGAAGAACCGCAAAGAAATACCACCGATTCTATTGGACATGAAGCGAAAGCCACAATACCATTCAGAGTTTGTGTTCGATCATAATTTGCGCCTTACTATGGTCTCATATATACCGAAAAAAAACCGGTGTGTTACTCTTTTGAGTACACTGCATACAAAAAAATTATTGTACGACACCCAAGAAAAAAAACCGGATATCATTCACTACTATAATAAAACCAAAAGTGGTGTGGATGTTTTGGATGAAAGGGTTGGCACATATAGGTGCAAGCGCAAGGTAAATCGCTGGCCAATGGCTATTTTTGAGAATATGTTGGATGTTTCGGTATTCAACGCCTTCGTCATATTTACTGAACTCAATCCCGAATGGAAAGAAAGAGAGAAAAAATATCGTCGTCGCCTCTTTATCATTGATGTTGCCGAAGATTTGGTTATGCCGTATATCGAGGTACGAAAGCGAACACCACGATCTGAGCACGCAAATGCCGTTGTACAGATGATTAGAGGTGTTCCAAGCGATCCTTCCAGTTCAAGAGCAAGTGGTGTATTAGAAAAATTACCACCGGCAAACAAAAGATCCCGTTGTCATATCTGTACATCGAAAAATAACTCGAATTTGTACAGAAGTCGCTGTGACATGTGTAAAAAGTACATTTGTGCTCAGCATTTCTTCAAAATTTGTGACAAATGCACGTAATTTTTACATTTTTGTTATTTTAGAAATACTCACAAATAAACAACCTTTGATCAACAACAAAAACAAATCGATTTGTTTATATTTTTGTATGATTTATGCCTGTTTTTCTAGCCTGTATCAAATTGATACATAGGAACTTTAACGTTTGAAGTTTTAAGGGACGGATGCGGGTTAAAAACTGAGTTACCGTTTTTGGCACATTTTGCCCCCTATCTTCAAACGGCTAAACCTGCCTTCTATGTTAACTAATCAGCACGTCTCCTTATCAATACGAATCGAATGTTTTTTGAATTATTCAAATCGCTTTATCCGTGTTTCCAAAATCGTCGACGAAATGCCAAAATATTCAGAAACCTTTGAAACGTAAAAATATATAAAAAATTTCATTTTCATTCAATATGGACGCCAATTAAAAACGTCAGAAAACCTACAACATTTTTAACTCACCTATAAGACAATCATCCAATACAGACGGACCTTGAGCCAGGGGCGATCAAGAAAAGGCAGATTTATTCGCAAAATACCTTAGTACTGCATTTCAACCAAATAATATCCCCCAAAAATTTAAGAAGTTGTCTAAAAAAGCTATTGTGCTGATATTCAATGCGACATTAATTAATTGGTGACTGGCCGAAAATCTTCAAACAATCTGAAATTATTATGTTACCAAAACCAGATAAGCCATGTCACTTAGATAACTCCTGCAGACCAATTAGTCTACAACACATACTATCAAAAATGCTAGAAAAACTATTAGTAGGCAGAATAACAAATAAGCTTACTATCATACCATACCATCAATTCGGATTTAGGAGAGAGCATTCGACAATACAACAATGCCATAGGATGACAACGGCAATTCGCCAAGCTTTCGAAGACAATAGATACTGCTTCACAATCTTAGTTGACATTAAACAGGCCTTTGATAAAGTGTAGCAAAATGGTCTTTTGTTAAAATAAAAAATTGCCTGCCGGGAATATATTACATGTTAATAAAATCATATTTAATAAACAGATTCTTTAGAGTGGAAGTAAGCAGCGCAGTATCGGCGATATTATTATAATTCTACGATATAAACGCAGGAGTGTCACAGGGGAGCGTAATGGGACCCCTGCTATTTACCATCTTCACACATGACATTCCAACTAATCCGAATACAATTCTCGAAACATTTGCAGGCGACACCATAATCATAGCAACCCACGAGGACCCTATAATAGCATCGCTAAATCTACAAGAGACGACTTTTCGAATTGGAGCTCGGGCTCAAAAAATGGAAAATTGATATCAACGAAACTAAATCGAAACACATGACATTTCCCACAAAAAGTCAAAATTGTTCAGATGTATTTATGAACGGCATCAAAATCCCTACATGCAGCAATATAAAATACCTAGGAATGAAATTAGATCACCGATTAATATGGAAACTACAAATTAAGGACAAGTGCAAAGAGATAAAAGCCAGATTCAAATAATTACATTGGATGATAGGTAGAAGGTCGAAAATGTCGCTTGAGAACAAACTGTTAATTTATAAGGCTCTTATAATACCGATTTGAACTTATGGAATACAGCTGTGGGGATGTGCAAGCGCATCGAACATTAAAATGGTACAAAGAACACAAATTAAAATATTAAGATCAATTGTAAATGCCTAATGGTATGTAAACAATCAAAAAATCCATAATGACCTAAAAATCGACACGGTATGCGAAACAATAAAGAAGTTCAGCAATAGATACCATTCAAAGATTGCTCAAAATATTAATCCATGCATTCAACACATCGTACGAAACACACCGACCAGAAGACTGAAACAAAATGGCCAGAAGACTTCAAATCAAGTTAAAATTAAGCCTATCAAAATCAATGGTGACCCTACATCATATACAAAGTGGGAAAGAAAGCTGACGAGAACAACGCCTGATCAGATAACAAGATAATTTCAATTATCTAAATCACGTTACTTAAGTTATCAGTTTAGCTTATAGAAATTATGTACTTTTCTGATTGCTAAAAAAGGTTCAGGTTAATACTGACTTTGAGATTTCTTGCTACTGGTAAGTGGTATAAAACAATTATTTAAAATAATTCAAAAACATTTTTTTATAATTTATATTTTCTTATATTTTATATTTATAAAAATTGTACCAATATTCATTGTAAATAAATTATATTATAGGTGACAGTTATCAGTCATTAAGCTATTTGTTTCGGATTCCGCCAACAACTATTTCTCGTATTGTTCCGGAGGTATGTGATGTCTTGTACTTGGAATTGAAAAATGATTATTTGAATGTATGACAAAATGTTCAATGTTGTCATAATATTGCGTTATAGTAGTCTCGTTTTACGTTGGAGGAATCATCTGGTATACTACTAGAGTGCTCGATGAACCGGAGTACTCACTCAAATTACTTGGAGAGAGCATCGAGTGTGTACTGGAGGAGGATACTTCTCGCAAGTCGTCTTCCTCATTTGCGTCTAAAATAGCTCTCTGAATCTTGCATTTTATTTTTTTTCGGATATCTTCAGAGCGTATTTCTCTTAACTCTGCAGTAACAAACTCTCCAAATACATCCAATTGAACTTTCGGAGCTCGTAAACAAGTTAAAGTTTCATTCAGCAACTCATCATCCTTTTTAACTGAATCGGGTTAAAATCGTTTGTTTTTTTATGAGGTTTTGTAACAGAAGTCTGCCCAGGCCCTCCTGAACCTGAAGGATGATTGTCTACTTCCTGCGGCGTCTGTGCGTAATCTGAATTATCTTTTATTTTCTCATCATGGTCATAAAAAATTAAAATAATAAATAAAAATTAAATGGTTTGTTCCTTTTTTTTACCGACTCCTTGTACATCAGAGGAGTGGGAAAATGAAGCACAGCGATTTAATGTTACCTGGAACAACCCAAATTGCATAGGAGCTATTGATAGAAAACATGTGGTAATGAAGGCACCAGAAGATTCAGGAAGTCTATATTATAATTACAAGGGGACACATAGTATTGTATTAATGGCTTTAGTTAATGCTGATTATAAATTTTGTAAATAGATGTAGGTTGTAATGGGAGAGTGTCAGGCGGGGGCGTATATGCGAATTGTTCACTATCGGCATGTTTGGAAAACAGCTCTTTGAGTATACCCAAAGCAAAGCCATTACGTGGCCGATGACGCTTTTGCATTAAAAACTTACATAATGAAACCATTCCCTTTAGAGACCAACCTATTGAAAATCGTGTTTTTAGTTATAGACTTTCTCGAGCACGTCGCGTAGTAGAAAATGCTTTTGATTTGCTTTCTATGCGATTTCGTTTTCTTAGAAAGCCAGTCGAACTATGTGCTCAAAAAGTATTAAAGCTTGTTCAAGCTGCTTGCGTGTTACATAATTATTTAATTGAAAAAAAAGTCGACCAGATATGTCCCTGAAGGTACTTTGATATGGAAGAGATTGGCAGGCTTATTCAAGGTTGTTGGCGAGATGACCCACTTCCACAAAAATTCATTTTATCCATTGCAACAAACAGGCGCGAGAAATCCGACTTGCACAGCTAAGCAGGTACGCGAAATTTTTAAAACGTACTTCATGTCCAGAGTAGATAAACTACCGTGCAATACCAATATGTTTGATTTTTTTATTTATTAATTTTTATCTTACTTTGTCATATGAAGTCTTAAAATGCACCCTACAATAAAAATTTTAAATCACAATATGAATTCAACTCTTCTTGGGAACACAAATAAACAAACCAGTGCAAAACAAAACAAAAAAAACTCTACGCATAGTACAAAAAATATCCAACAAGTTGAATAATGCTAGAGGTAATAGCTAGAGCGTAGAAGTTGTGCAGAGACCCTATGTACACTGAATATCATTTGTCTAGCTAGCGAGATTATCTACGGAGAGCGTAGAGTGACTCTTGCTAGATTGCTCTAGTAGCTGTGTACACTATGGGACTCTACATAGAGCGCTCTATTAGTGCTCTAGCTAGAGCGACTCTAGCCAAAAACTCTACAGTGTATCAGCAGCTTTAGGCTACAGATTTTGTGTCCGTATTTACGACTGAATTGATAGCAATTAAAAAGGCACTGGACATAATAAAAAGATAAAATTTTCAGAAATCGATTATATTTACAGACAATAAAAGCTGCATTGCAAAATTGCAAAACTTATTTCGTACAAGAAAATTACTTGATTCAGAGTATTATGAAATTTGGAATAATATTGCTATTATAGTGGGAGGGGACTATAATGTGCAATTATTATCACAAAGCACACTCTGGGATTGTAGGGAATAAAGCAGCTGATAAATTAGCAAAGAGGGCTGCAGAGCATGGGCCAGAGGTAAAAGTTGCCATGTATAAAGATTTTTTAAATAAAATGTTGCAAAGGGTTAACTTTTCTTTTTTTTATTTATTTATAATTAGCAATCAGAATACAGATTCTATAAGCTGATGTGTGATGTATACACAAAATAAAAATTAAATAAAGTATTAAAATAAACAAATAATAAAGATACAAAAATAAAAATTATAAATGAATACAAAAATATAATTATAAGCAAATTAGGAAAAAAGAAGTACGTTAGGATTGCCTCCATTGAGTTAATCCTAAGTGAAGAGATCAGCAGAGATTACATGGTCAGATCGGCAGGCCATTTTCTTTTCAGTCTTCGGTTTGTGTTTTCTTCCACAAGTGGCTTCAGTATATTAATTGCTATTTGTTCGATTTTGTTAAGATGCGTGCAGAGTTTATCCTTGGTGACGTCTTTATATATGGTATTTTTAGGTCTGATGAGAATATGATTACTTACAAACCATGGAGCGTCACTAGGGTTTTGATAATTTTATTGCATTCTCTGCATCTTGGCTATATGTGATTTGCTAGCGCATCCCCACAGCTCTATGCCGTAGGTCCACACCGTTTCAGCACTGCATTGTAGATTAAGACTTTGTTATAAAAG